TGTGTGTGTGTTNTGTGTNTGTGTGTGTGTTGTGTGTTNTTTCTCTCTCTCTCTCTTTGTGTGTGTGTGTGTGTGTGTGTGTGTGTGTGTGTGTGTGTGCACATGTGTGTGTGTGTGTGAACATGACTTACCAGGACAACAACCCCGACCGAAGCGCCACCGATAGTACCAATACAGATGAGAGCTATCCCCCATCCCGGAAATCCTCCGGCCGACGGTGCCTTCGCTTCGACACTGACTTCTATAATATCAACACAACACATCAGGTTGAACTGCCACTTAGGCCACACTGCCTTAATTTAATAGATGACATCCGCGCGCGCATTGATTTTCGCCTGTTCTCTTAAAAAAAGAGATCACTCTGGCCTGGCTCTAGGCCTGGGTAGTCATGGTGGTTAGCGACAATATTGAGCCGATGGTAACTCTGGAGGATGGCACCCAGGCTGCCGAAGCTCCACGACGGCAAGAACTCACATAGGCACAGTGCCGATTCATAAATTCCGCAAAAAGCCAGCATGTGCCGGCTTGTCGTATACATCGCTATATGCACTGTACTGCCGCAAATTCACAATACCAACTTTGTATTCCTGTGGTTAGTAGCATTTTCAATTTTTGGCCGGGATTTTTTTATTATTAGGGGTCTTCAGAGGATGTCATCCATAAAATTAAGTCGGTGTGGTCAAACATGAAAAATAGAGGTTTTGACACATTGTTTAGGAAAGGTTTACATATAGAATGTAATACTTTACCTGTAACCATCACAGACCCCGGATCCACCACCAAACCGGGAAGGAAGTCGCCTGGCGTCTCGTTGAGTGCCACAAGGAAGGTTTGTCGGACCCCTTCTGTAGTCACTGCGGTTGCTGTGCCTGCTAGCACCACCTCGTAATCAACGACAACACTTCCACGCCTGAAAATGTTGAGAATGCTTAGTACTGCCAATTCAACACAGCGATAAAGCTTTGGTTGAAACCTATGTAGTCTATTAATGAACCCAATGCAAGCTAAATCTGTAATTACGTGTAGCTTTCAATCAATCAATTACTAGTAATCAATCAATGAAAACTGGTTTATTATGTTATTAGTTTGTAAATTACGTTATCTTATGTATGTTTTTATTTTGTGTAATTATTTGTTTATTGTTTGTTTATTTAATCGCATATAATCAGAGAGAAGAACAATAAAATGAACATATTACAGTAAAATAGGATATGCAGGGGAAAGATAAGAAGCCATAATTGCTTATCCGTGATCTTCCCCCGACAAAATTAATTGGCAACTGTAACAATGGTAAGAAATCAAATGGTAATAATAAATAACAATGAGTAATTGAAACATTTGATCAATATGATAAAATTGAAATGTGCGTTTTGTCTGCCATAAAGTCATGAATGTTACATGAATGTTTCATTTGGGGTACTTTTATTTGAACAAATTTTTACAAGATTGGCAGAAGATCATGTGCAGACAATGCAGCAAACCTGGCCGGCCACCAACCTGGTGCAACCAATCACCCCCAGTTCTAAATACCTGTTCTAATGATATGGTCCGCCATCTTGGATTTTGGCCTATGACGTCATCAAATTAGCATAAATTATGCATATTTAATGATAGAATTTACATAAACTAATATGGGATGTTATCAATATTAGAAACCATGTGTAGCTTGACAAAAAAAAAACATAAAATTCTGTTGTTGAAACAAAAATTACTAAATTTAGCAAAAAATGCCTGTTGCCATGTCAACACAAAAAATTATTATCTTATTCCCCCCGGTCTGGGTAGGGTTAAGTAATTGATGAGTAATCTCCAAGCAAGTCATACGGTGGCAAATATCCATTGGCCAAAAGAGTGTTTACGGTAGCTAATGAACACTCATCTGCCCAATGGCATGCTGCCTTGCTACCGTATGATCTGCTTGGAGATCAGTTGGAGAGACCACTTTTTACTGTACATGCAAAAACAAAAATACCTAAATCCAGTTATTCGCACTTCCAGCAACAGAGCCCCGTACTCCTCTCGGAAAACTGACTCGAGCTACACAGTGGAAATGTAGAGAGAAGAATAAGTTAGAACTGATTTGTTGGAATGAAAAACAAACATTTAATTGCAAGAACACAAGGCAACCTAACATAAATATTACTACAAAATGATATATAGGAGGCCGATTTCATAATAACTGCCATTTGTAGATATATATAGAATACAACACGGTGTATTCCGTATCGCCCGAGGTCCCAGCCCGACCGCGGGTCGGATCGCCCGACGGCCGCAGGCCGGAGGGAGATCCGACTCGCGGGAGGGCTGGGACCGAGGGTGATGCGGAATACACCGTGTTGTATTTTATTTATGTCATACCCACCCAAGAAAACACGCCTTTCAATGCGAAATTAGCGAAAATTTGGTGTCCCTAAACCTAAACAATGCAACAACATCAATTCCAACGTCCGAATTTTGTGTTCGAATTTTCGAAAGCGGTGCAAGCGGTTTGGGCGAAACGCGTTAAGACCCGGGCCGTACGCGTTAAGAACTCCCGGGCCGTACCGCTAGTTATTACACGGGCCGGAACACCCGTATCGAACGTAATCGCGGCCCAGGTAGGACATAACGTCCAATATGGCAATATACGGATTCACTGCAAATGTTGATGAGGCAGACATTAAGAGATTTAGATTATTTGGACCAAACCCTGTTACAGTTACAGAGTTAGACACTCGTTGTCATTTGGAAGCAGCATCTGTGAATGAATTATTTGCAGAAACCATGATCAATAAAAAGATCCACAATACCAATTGACAAATTGCAAATTGGACAATACGTACCTTAGTTTGGATGGTGTTTTCTAGTTCTTCGTAGACTGGCGAGCTTTTGTTCATCAGATCATTGCTAAAGTTAGCCCCTAGAAAACAGACAAAAGTTACATGGACGAAGAACTATCTTGGGAGGAAACGTAAAATTGGGTTTGAAAGCCTGATTTCTATTTTAGAACTACAAAAGTCAAGTTCTTACCCGTTTGAATAATCAAAATTAGCACATTTATACATACCATGGCTGATTTTAAAAGTGGCTTGAAAAACTCGTTGTATGGCCATGATTGTAGGCTGAGTTGTCATGGCAGTGGTTGTAGGCTGAGTTGTCGTGGCAGTGGTTGTAGGCTGAGATGTCGTGGCCGTGGTTGTAGGCTGAGTTGTAGTGGCAGTGGTTGTGGGCTGAGTTGTCGTGGCAGTGGTTATTGGCTGAGTTGTCGTGACAGTGGTTGTAGGCTGAGTTGTCGTGGCCGTGGTTATAGGCTGAGTTGTCATGGCAGTGGTTGTAGGCTGAGTTGTCGTGGCAGTGGTTGTAGGCTGAGTTGTGGTGACAGTGGTTATTGGCTGAGTTGTCGTGACAGTGGTTGTAGACTGAGTTGTCGTGGCCGTGGTTGTAGGCTGAGTTGTCGTGGCCGTGGTTGTAGGCTGAGTTGTCGTGGTTGTAAGCTGAGTTGTCGTGGCCGTGGTTATAGGCTGAGTTGTCATGGCAGTGGTTGTAGGCTGAGTTGTCGTGACAGTGGTTGTAGACTGAGTTGTGGTGGCAGTGGTTGTAGGCTGACTTGTGGTGGCAGTGGTTGTAGGCTGAGTTGTCGTGGCTTGTGTTGTAGGCTGACTTGTCGTGGCCGTGGTTATAGGCTGGGTTGTCATGGCAGTGGTTGTAGGCTGAGTTGTCGTGGTCGTGGTTGTAGGCTGAGTTGTCGTGACAGTGGTTGTAGGCTGAGTTGTGGTGGCAGTGGTTGTAGGCTGAGTTGTCGTGGCAGTGGTTGTAGGCTGAGTTGTCGTGGCAGTGGTTGTAGGCTGAGTTGTCGTGGCAGTGGTTGTAGGCTGAGTTGTCGTGGCAGTGGGTGTAGGCTGAGTTGTCGTGGCAGTGGTTGTAGGCTGAGTTGTCGTGGCCGTGGTTGTAGGCTGAGTTGTCGTGGCAGTGGTTGTAGGCTGGGTCGTAGTGGCAGCGTTTGTAGGCTGAGTCGTAGTGGCAATAGTTGTAGACTCTGCCATGGTTGTAGTTTGAGTTGCCTCGTCCATTGCCGTAGACGCTAACATTGATGTAGAGGTGGACAATGTTGTAGTTTGTGCTGTCTTGACCATGGCTGTAGACTGTGCCATCGGTGTAGACTGCGCCATTGGTGTAGACTCTGCAGCTGTCATTGGTGTCGTCTGTACCATTGGCGTAGACTGTGCCATTGGCGTAGACTGTGCCATTGGTCTAGACTCTGTCATTGGTGTAGACTGTGCCATTGGTGCAGACTGTGCAATTGGTGTAGATTTTGTCACTGGTGTAGAATGTGCCTTATGTGTAGACTGCCCCATTGGTTTAGACTGTAGTATTGGTGTAGACTGTGCCATTGGTGTATACTGTGTCTTTGGTGTAGACTGTGCAACTGATGTAGACGCTGACATTGTTGTAGTTTGTGTTGTACCTTGCACTGTGGTTGGGTTAGTTGTATCTGGCGCTGCGGTTGGTTTAGTTGTATCTGGCGCTGTGGTTGGTTTGGTTGTACCTGGCACTGTGGTTGGTTTGGTTGTACCTGGCACCGTGGTTGGTTTGGTTGTATCTGGCACAGTGGTTGGGTTAGTTGTACCTCGCACTGTGGTTGGTTTAGTTGTACCTGGCACCGTGGTTGGATTAGTTGTACCTGGCACAGTGGTTGGGTTAGTTGTACCTGGCACTGTGGTTGGTTTAGTTGTACCTGGCGCAGTGGTTGGTTTAGTTGTACCTGGCGCAGTGGTTGGTTTGGTTGTACCTGGCGCTGTGGTTGGTTTAGTTGTACCTGACACGGTGGTTGGTTTTGTTGTATCTGGCACTGTGGTTGGTTTGGTTGTACCTGGCGCAGTGGTTGGGTTAGTTGTACCTGGCGCAGTGGTTGGGTTAGTTGTACCTGGCATTGTCGTTGGTTTGGTTGTATCTGGCGCTGTGGTTGAGTTAGTTGTACCTGGCACTGTGGTTGGTTTGGTTGTATCTGGCACTGTGGTTGGTTTGGTTGTACCTGGCACTGTGGTTGGTTTGGTTGTATCTGGCGCAGTGGTTGGGTTAGTTGTACCTCGCGCTGTGGTTGGTTTGGTTGTATCTGGCACTGTGGTTGGTTTGGTTGTATCTGGCGCAGTGGTTGGGTTAGTTGTACCTCGCGCTGTGGTTGTTTTAGTTGTACCTAGCATTGTGGTTGGTTTAGTTGTACCTGGCACAGTGGTTGGTTTAGTTGTACCCGGCACTGTGGTTGGGTTAGTTGTACCTGGCGCAGTGGTTGGTTTAGTTGTACGTGGCGCAGTGGTTGGTTTAGTTGTACCTGGCGCAGTGGTTGGGTTAGTTGTACCTGGCGCTGTGGTTGAGTTAGTTGTATCTGGCACTGTGGTTGTTTTAGTTGTACCTAGCATTGTGGTTGGTTTAGTTGTACCTGGCACAGTGGTTGGTTTAGTTGTACCTGGCGCAGTGGTTGGGTTAGTTGTACCTGGCACTGTGGTTGGCTTAGTTGTATCTGGCACCGTGGTTGGTTTAGTTGTACCTGGCGCAGTGGTTGGGTTAGTTGTGCCTGGCATTGTCGTTGGTTCAGTTGTACCTGGCACTGTGGTTGGTTTAGTTGTATCTGACGCAGTGGTTGGTTTAGTTGTACCTGGAACCGTGGTTGGGTTAGTTGTACCTGGCACTGTGGTAGGTTTGGTTGTACCTGGCACTGTGGTTGGCTTAGTTGTACCTGGCGCAGTGGTGGTGGTTGCTTGAGTGGTACCTGGACTATCAGTTGTACCTCGCACTGTGGTTTCCTGAGCGGTCGTAGCAGCTTTTGTTTGTACCCAGGTCGCGCCAAACATCGCAAACGCCATTAAAAGCACAGGCCATTGTTTCTTAAACACTGAGATCGTTGCTGGCATTTTCGATATAACAACAAAAAAAGCAGCTAACTTTCTCAACTAAACAAGAACAGCACTACACTGGACACCTGAAGGGAAGAGAAAACAAGGACGACCTAAGATCACTTGGCGTAGAACAGTTATGAAAGAACCACAGCGCTTAAGCCACACCTGGGATACCATTCTGAGAGTAGCCCAGGACAGAGGGAACTGGAGAACCTTTGTTACTGCCAAACATGCCGGGACTGGCATTAAGGGCAGCTAGCAAAGTAACTTTCTCACTTAATTACTCGTATAAAAAACTCGACGATAATATTACTGCAACAAGTCTAAGCCATCATAGAAGAAGAAGAACTTTATTGCACGACAATTGCACATGGTACAATGTATGGCAAACTACATAAAGAGAGTAGCAAACAATAAAAAGTGTTGAACAAGACCTAATGTCCAATAAACCTATAACAAATCTACATCATAATTATTCAAATAATAAGGGATAGCAGAAGTCTTTGATAAAGTGTAACTAAAGTGTAAAGTGGGCTAATCACAAGTTTTGGAAGTTTTTCTAATAATAAAGCATTCCTTTATATATCTACCTATTTTTGCGTTGTGGGGACCATTACATGTAAAGATATATTCAAATCTGTCTCTAACATCGAGACTCTTAAAAACTATTGTACTTGATTCGAGAATACATGTGATCATTCGCGAAATGGTTTGATAATAGATTATATTAGCTACGAAAAACTGCCTATTTACTTACAGTCTGTTTTCACTGAAGGATACAACCGCTGAGTGAGCGTTGCGAGACCAAAACTGACAGGAAACCTGGAAACGACGGAAAGAATTGACTGTCTCGTGTCCCCTGACGAAAAACTGTACCTTCCGTGCTATAAGAGCTACTCCGAAATTCTCATAATATATAATGTATTTTGCACAGTTTTCCCACCAATACTGTGTTTGGTTTGATCGTGTTCGAATGACTTGCCAATGACTCACTACCTTGCATAGTGTAGTAGGGCCACAGCAAGTAAATTTTATGGATGACATCCGCCGCAGACTCCAAATCTAATGTGATGCGAGCGGGCGAAAAAAAAAACAAGGCGGGTCCAAAAAAACAAGGGTCCTACATTTTCAAATTTGGACTTAATCATTAATTGTACACATGGTTTTGCTTCAGTGGGAACATCACATATATACAGCCAGCATCACATATCACTGCATCAAAGTAAAAAAAACACATTAAATCAGAGCCTTTTCTTGTCTCCTCTCTTCATAGTTTTCTGCCATCCATGTTCTGTCATGGCATCAGACATCTTTGCGCATTTTCGGCATGTTGACCACTGTCAGAGGGCAACAAAATTTCTTGTTTCTTTTTCAAAATCAGGCAAAAAGTAATGCGCGCTCTGATGTCATCCATAAAAATTACTTGCTGTGGCCTAGACTGTTACTGGCTATACAGCTAGGTACAATGATACTAGCGTTCGCTGTAAATAATGTATGATGAAAACAGACTAATAAACTCCTGGCATATTCTGTGTACGTGTAAAATTCGGTGTGCGTTTAATAGCCTGGTTGATAGTTATGCTCTCCCGGTCATTTGGCTTGGAATCGACCGAGAGGACGTTCTAAAGCCTTTTTTTTTCAAACTTTATTAATATTCACAATGTTACATTAAAAAGAGATACATAGTTGACATACATGTACAATCGTGTGGGATGATACATAAGAATCAAGGACAGTTTTTTTAAAAGGTAACGTTATCTGGGGGTTGTCTATATATAATGATATTAAATAAAATGTTGAATTGTTCATTATGTTCTATTTCTATCATTTGGTTTAGTCTGTGCTTGAAAATTGAGAGTTGTGGTTTACAGTTTGTTATGAAACATGTGTATATACAATATTTAGCGGTAAGAATACAGTGTGCAAGTGCACTAACATGGCGAGGGTTGTCAATTATACCGTAAATAATCGTCTTCTCGTCTACGATTAGGTCTTGTTTGGTACGTCGTTTCCACCAGTAACAGAACTCTTTCCAATTTTTTTTTTTTTTGCTTCTTTACAATACAAAAATAAATGTTCGATAGTGTGCTAATCTGTGCAATTGTTACATCGATCCGTTTGTACCAGATTTGCTTTCCTTAGCCAACTATTTGTAGCCAGGTAGTGATGGATAATCTTACACTGAAAGCATTGTAATTTGGTTTCCCTTGTAACGTATAACGACTTGTGTTCTAAAGCCTTGTTATAAGGCTGTCAAGCTAGCACTAAGCGCTTTAGTCTAATCACGTAAATTGCCCGTAGCCAGGATTTTGAATGGAGGGGTTCTTCCCACTGCTTGAGTGGACCTCGAGCGCCGTGGGCGCGAGGTTCCTAGGGGGGGTCCGGGGGCATGCTCCCCCTGGAAATTTTGAAAAATGAACCTTCTAAAACGGCATTTCGTGCATTTTTGAGAGGATTTGCAAGAAAAAAATCAGAGATAAATTTTTATTCAATGACACAGGGAGCAGTTTCTCTACGATTCCAGTCCATCTTTTAAAGCAAAATCTTGGACCTTTACATAAAAAGTGGACCAAAAAGTGGACCTTTACATAAATAGTGGACCAAAAAGTGGACCTTTGAGCCTTGGGGGGGGGGTTCTTCCGAACCCCCCCTGGCTACGGGCACGTGGACGACTTCTTCTCGTTTCCCTATGATGGTGAAAAGATAAGATTTGCCTAAGTTCATTAGAAAAGTGAACTTGTCTGTATTATAACGTGGGGAAACCGATGTTCTCAATCTATAACTTCTCTCTATTTTACAGAAATGTATATCACAATTTTCGATTTAAACTTTTAAATCGGGTCAATGTATTTAGTGCCCTAAGTAATTATATCGATCGAAAGCCTCAAGGCAGCCACTTGCATGATTCTTGTTTTTATGTTAATTAGGCCACAGCAAGTAAATTTTATGGATGATATCCTCCAAATCTAATGCGAGCGGGCAAAAAAAAACAAGATTCCTACAATTTAAAAAATCGACTCAATCATTGTACAAATGGTTTTGATTCAGCGGGAACATCACATATACACAGCCAGTATCACATATCACTGCATCAAAGTAAGAAACAAAACATTAAATCAGAGCCTTTTCTTCTTCTTCTTCCCTTGATGCCCACAATCGAGGCGTCGATTATTCTGGCATTTCAGGTCAGAGGTCCTTATACTAAAAGTTTGTCCAGTGTTCACAGTCCATTTAACCTCGCCGGGTCAGTTCCGAATAGTCCCGTCCATACTATTACAACAGTGAAGACTACATGAGGCTGGACACCAGGTTGTTCACCGTGTCTACCTCTGCTGCATTCCAATCCTTGATGGTTCTAGGCAGGAATGAAAAGTCTCTGTACTGTGTTCTAGTCTTAATCTGGGAAAGCTGGTAGTTGTGTGTGCGTCTTCTTCTTGATGGTGGCGGAACAAGCTTGCTTTTTATAATAGGGCATTGCACAATTCCTTGGTTGATCTTAGCCAGCATCCCTAGTCTTGCTGACCTTCTGCGTTCTGCCAGTGGTTGCCAGCCGAGTTCTGCTAACATGTTGGTCACGCTTGACGTGTTGTGGTAGCGATTGAGAACATATCTCGCCGCTCGTCTTTGGATGCTTTCTAGTTTGTCAATGTCCTTCTGCTTGTAAGGATCCCACACGGATGCAGCATACTCCATCAAAGGTCTCACAAAGGTTTTGTATGCTTTTTCCTTGATGGAAACAGAGCTGATTTTAAGGTTTCTCTTAATAAAGCACAAAACTCCATTTGCCTTGTTTGCTACATTGTTGTAGTGTACGTTCCAGCTCGCGTCCCTGCACAGTGAGACACCTAGGTACTTGGCTGTTCTTACTGTCTCAAGCGTATGGCCGTGGAGTACATATGATGTCTCCAAGGGTTTTCTACTCCTTGTCACTGTCATGGTTACACACTTAGCAGGGTGAAACATCATATCCCAGGATTTTTCCCAATCTGCCAGCCTTTCTAGATCACGTTGTAGCTGATCTTGTTGTTCCCTATTGGTTATGACGTTATATATGGCAGTGTCATCGGCAAACAACCTAGCCAGTGCTGTTAGTTTATCCGGTAAGTCGTTTATATATGCAAGGAATAGACAGGGACCGAGAACGGAACCCTGTGGGACTCCTGATCTGACGCTCGCATATGAGGACTGGTATCCGTCGACTATAACTGCTTGTCGTCGGTCGCTCAAGAAGCTCTCGATCCAAGCTAGAGTCGATCCTTGGATTCCAAAGCGGTATAATTTGTGAATCAGTAGGCTATGATTCACCCGGTCAAATGCTTTTGCGAAATCCATTATTAGGATATCTGTCTGTTTCCCACTTTCCACGTTGGTCGTTAGCTCTTCTACCATTTCTAGCAGCTGACTCTCACAGGATCGACCTCTGCGAAAACCATGCTGTGCGTCATTCAGTATGGCGTGTGACTCAAGGTGGTACATAACATGTTTGACCACAATATGCTCCATCAGTTTACACGCTATACATGTCAGGGAAATTGGTCTGTAATTAGTTGGGTCATATTGTTCCCCTTTTTTAAAGATGGGCATGACATATGCACTCCTCCAGTCAGTTGGGACACTGCCTGTTGTTAATGAAGATTTAAAGATGGTTGTCAGTGCCGGCGCCAGTTCCTCGGCTAGTTCTCGTAGTATTCTAGGGCTAATGCCGTCTGGCCCTCCGGCCTTGTGTGGGTTCAGTTTCTCCATTAACTTGCTCACTCCCTCGCAGGTGATAGTGATGTTGTCCATCGCTGGTACGTCTGTGTTTTGCATACCTGTCTTCTCTTCAAACTCTGCGTTTGAGTACTGCTGTCCATCACTGAAAACTGACTGGAAGTGTTCATTCAAAATGTCAGCTTGCTCTTGTGGGTTGGATGTGAGGCGGCCATCTTTCTTTAGAGGGGCAACACCGGCATTACTTGACCTCTGGTTCTTAATGTAAGCCCAGAACCTCTTATTCCCTGGTTTGTAAGCAGATGTTTCTTCCGTAAAAACTGAGTTTAGATGACTCCAATAGCTCCGACGGATCTGTCGTTGGATGGTGCGGCGCAGAGCCTTGACCTCTTCCCTCAGCTTATTGGATCCGTTTTTCTTCCACTTGCGGTATTTCCTATCTCGTCTGTTCATCAGTTTCCTAATACTTGGCGTGACCCATGGTAGGTTGATTTTAGTCCTTGTTGTTTTATGCGGTACGAAATTCTTAACTGCTGCCGTAAGGGAGTCCTTGAATGTGGTCCAAAGCTCTTCTGTGGACATATTATCACAGTTGTCTTGTACTTCTATGCTAATCTTTGATGCTTCTGATCTTAAGCTGTCCCAGTCGGCTTTCGCGAACAGAGGAATTGTACGTTGTGTTTGCTTCTTCCTTCTGTTACTGGTGTTTATCTCACAATATGGAATGTTGTGGTCCGACAATCCGGGCACTATCTCAACTCGGGGTACCAGATTAGGATTATTTGTTACAAGCAAATCCAGGGTGTTGTCTTCTCTGGTCGGTTCTTTAACCAGTTGTTCCAGTCCATTATCTTGTAAGATGTCTAGAAAATCCTGGTGAAGGCCAGGATATGGTGTGCTTGGTTTTAGGGTGGTAGAAGACCAATCCCAACCCGGGAGATTGAAATCCCCTCCGATGAGCAATAGAGCATTCTGTATCTGAGAAGCTCTGTGGAGTGACATACTAAGTCGCTGCAAGCTAGGCTCGTCACTGACATCCGGTCTGTAGAATGCAGCCACATAGAGCGTACGTCTGCCTCTCAACTTGATACGCACCCACTCAAGCTCACATTCCTCCACATTCAGCTCTGGGGCTTCATAGCTATCCAAGTTGCTCCTCACAGCTACTAATACCCCGCCACCTCGCCCTTCTCTGTCCCTTCTGTATACTCTGTACAAGTTCGGGAAAATTTCTGCAGTAGCCACTGTTTTATCTAGCCATGTTTCTGTTCCGATCACAACATCTGGTTTCATACTTTCTAGGAGATATGGTAATTCCGCTCTTTTTGCACTAGCAGATTGAAAATTGATGTTTAAGACACGTAGGGGTCTGTCTGACCACTTATCTTGTTGGCTGGAACGAAGTGGTGTGGATGCATCTTGTCTCTTCTCTTCATAGTTATGTGCCATACACCTTCCGGCATGGCAACAGAATCTTTGCCCATTTTCGGCATATTGACCACTGTCAGAAGGCAACAAAATTTCCAAAATCAGGCGAAAATTAATGCGCGTAGTGATGTCATCCATATAATTTACTTGCTGTGGCCGTATGCGTTTTATTTGTGATATGTAAAGCACAATTGTTTCTGTAACCGTTTTTGCCTGTCTCTTTCATTCTGAATTTTCTAGATTTTCTATTGCACTTGTATTGTTGGTACATGCTACTCTCCAAGCAGAGGTTTGGGTTTTGGGGGTATTTTTAGCGTGTTTTTAGGCTTTTTTATTGGGGTTTCTCTTTTGCACTGAATTTTTTTCCACCAAACCCAAAACACGCTAAA